GGAGGAAACGTAAACACTGCTGACTCTTCAACTCTGCCTAATGGCAACTAACAACGTTCAACCGGGTCGAGACAAACAAAGATAATTCAGAGGAGTTCATCTTCTTGTAAATTAACATGATTTATTACGTCTTTTGTTATAAAGATGCTTGATTCAAAGGATATTTGTTATACGAAAATATTAGAATCACAGACTTTTTAGAGATGAAAGGAAACTTAGAGATCGTGGAGCCAAAAACCCCTCCTTCTACAGATGCTGAAGCTAAGGCTCAGAGGGGTCACATAACTCTCCCAAGGTCAAGTGGCAAGGCCAGACTTCAGGCTCAGGAGTCAGACCACCTCGTCCTAAACTCTGCTGTCCACCCACAGACACCTCAGAAAGATTTCCTCGAGTCTAACAGAATGAAGCTCTTCTTTTACCCAAGTGGATAATTAAAATGTATGAAGGCTTCAAAAGAGAACTGGGAGCGTGGGGCCAGGGTTTAGCTTCTCTTAAATTTTTTCAGAATACACAGATGATTAACGACTAGTTTTCAGCTGTTTATCAAGGAAGTCATCTTGGCAATAATTTTTACCAACCCGTTTTAGGGTTAAAAAAAAACCTTAGCTGTTCCATTTGGTTTAGGGACCAGCAGGATTTTAATTTCCAAAGCTACTGCATATTTGGCTAATTAACCCTAGCATCTGACAATGAAGAACCAAAAGAAAGAACCAAGTTTCCAATATAATATTAAAAATTTCTAGAATAGTAAAAACTCCAGCTGTATTTTCACCTCCACCAGTACCACATACTTTTTAGCAAGCACCTGAAAAAAAGATTTTTCCAGTAATGTCTGGTCTAAACCTTAAGAAACATTTTTTAAAATAAGTTGTTGTAGCTAGTCTCCAAGAAAGCTGATGGCCTCCAATCTCCCCCTCCCATGATCTTCTCCCACACTGTAACAGTGGGTTCTGCGTCCTCGAAGAAGTGTGTCACTTCCGAGATGAAGTTATAAAAGAGACCTGCAGCTTCCATCTTGCTCATCCTGTCTCTCTCAGATGGCTGGCTTTGTGGAGAAAGTTAGCTGCCGGTGTTGTGAACAGCTACATGGCAAGGACCACGTGGTAAAGACCTGAGACCTCCAACCAACAGCCATGTGAGTTAGCCGTCTTGAAGGCAGCCCCTCCAGTCCCAATGAAGCCTTTGGATAACTGCGCCCCCGGAGAGATCCTGAGCCCGAAGCACCCAGCCAAACTGTTCCCAGATTCCTGGACTTCAGAAACTGTGTTAGATAATAAATATCTATTGCTTTACACTGCTAACTTTGGGTTAATTTGTTCCACAGCAGTAGAAAATTCATCCACGTAGCAAACAAACTTTAGAGGTAGCCAGCCACACAGTACCTAACTACCATATTTCCTTCAACTCATGACATATATCAAGTAAAATTACATAGGTTAGAATATTCTAATCTGGATAAGGCCTAACTTAATACTTGCTATGTCAATTCCCAGAGCTCTGGTGGCTCAGTGGTTAAGAGCTCGGCTGCTAACTTAAAGGTCAGCAGTTAGAATCCACCAGCTGCTGTCTGGAAACCGTACGTGGCAGTTCTACTCTGTCCTATAGGATTGCCATGAGTCAGAATCAACTCAACGCCAATGGGTTGTTTTTTTTTTATGTCAATTCCCAATCTAGTGAGCCTAAAATACACTGAACATAAATTGCCCACAAAGCATAGACAAAAACAATATATTAGCAACTGTAACAGAATCTTTTTCCACATTTAGATTCCAAATAAAAACAAAAACACAACAACTCCCAAAAGAGATTCGTTTATAATCATAACAGAGAACACGCAGATAAATTATTTTTAAAAGGTTACATGAACTTGAAATGGAGGCCTGGCTGGCATTTCACACTTGTTGCACTAACCACATACATCTTCCCTCTTTGACACTGAGCTTCCTCATTCTCCTCATCTTTCTTTCCACTCTTGCCCATGTCAAGCTCACACACCTCGTTACCAACTGCCCTCTCTACTCTGTGGAACATCTAAGATATGTGCATGTGTACACCCATATTTATACTCCTAATTACCAAAATAACGGAGGAGCTAAAGGAGACAGCTAATGGCTAAATCCTCAAGGACTAATATTTATCTGGTATTGACTGTCGTTGTTAAATGCTGTCGAGTTGGTTCTAACTCATAGCAACCCTATGTACGAAAGTATGAAACCCCACCAGGTCCTGCGCCATCCTCACAACGCTTGTTATGCTTGAGCCCACTGTTGCAGCCACTGTGCCAATCCATCTCGTTGAGGGTCTTCCTCTTTTTTGAGGACTCCCTACTTTACCAAGCAGGATGTCCTTCTCCAGGGACCGGTCCCTCCTGATAACATGTCCAAACTACGTGAGATGAAGTCTCGCTATTCTCGCTTGTAAAGAGCATTCTGGCTGTACTTCTTTCAAGACAGATTTGCTCATTCTTCTGGCAGTCCATGGTATGTTCAATATTCTTCGCCAACACCATACTTCAAAGGCATCAATTTTTCTTTGGTCTTCCTTATTCATTGTTCAACTTTTGCATGCATATGAGGTGACTGAAAATACCATAGCTTGGGTCAGGTGCACCTTAGTCCTCAAGGTGACATCTTTGCTTTTCAACACTTTAGTCTCTTGCAGCAGATTCGATCAGACCCTTAGCAGTCATGATAGTGAGACTTTGACTCACTTACTTTGGACACATCATCAAAAAAGATCAATCACTAGAAAGGGCCATTACGCTGGATAGAGGGTCAGTGCAAACGAGGGAAACTTTCAGTGAGATGGATTGACACGACAGCCCCAGCAATGAACTCAAACGTACCAACAATCATGAAGATGGCGCAGGACTGGGCAACGTTCCGTTAGTGAGGCTGCCATGAGCCAGAGCTGCATGAAGGGCGATGAACGGAACACTGGTTAGATCACAGGGTCTGTGCCAAGAAGATAGCTGATGCTCACAGTTTTCCCCCTCTTGCTCTCCCCTCACCCCACGTGTTTAGGGAAGAGCTCCATTTCTCTGGTTACTTTCTGTCTTTGATCTAACATTCAAACTTTTCAGCAGCAACACAGATTCATTTAAAAAAGAAATCCCAGTGTCTTGTACGCCTAACAGCAGGGGCTGTCTGTACAGAAGTAACGAGAGCCAATGAAAGTGGAACTCCTGTATATCATCTTAAGACAAGTTACGCTAGAAACCTTAGAAGAGTTCACCGAGATCCCGTCCATCCCTGTAGTCCTAGGTTGTTATACTGACTAAACCCACACACAGGGGACATGTAGTCTGGCCAAAGACGCCCCACTCACAGCCTTCTTCCCACCCCTACCCCTGTCCCAACCCCTGCTGCCACAAACAACACCTTAAACAGTCCTTGTTCCATTTGACTTTAACACTTAAGTGAGTGTAGAGCTGTTATCTTTTTCTTTTTTTTTTTTTTTTAGTTTTTTTAATAGTTGCAGGATCTGGCATTCAGAGAGGTGAAAAACCAAACTCCAGATCCCACTACTAGTAAAATTTCAGAGACAAGCATCAAACCTAGGTCTTCAAACCCAACTTTCCTGCTCTACGCAAACCTTGTTCTTCGAACCCAACTCTCCTGCTCTACCCAAACCTAGTTCTTCAAACCCAAATCTCCTGCTCTACCCAAACCTAGGTCTTCAAACCCAATTCTCCTGCTCTACCCAAACCTAGGTCTTCAAACCCAACTCTCCCACTGTACCCAAACCTAGGTCCTCAAACCCAACTCTCCCGCTCTACCCAAACCTAGGTCTTCGAACACAACTCTCCCGCTCTACCCGAACCTAGGTCTTCAAACACAACTCTCCTGCTCTACCCAATATATTCAGTGGTAACTTTCGTGATCACCCCATTTCTGAGAACTTAACTTGTTCCAAGCTTTGACATCCAAGAATCTCTCCCTGCTCAGCTTAGAAGACCAGTCATTTACCCAGCTAAAAGATACACTCTCCTCTCTGATAAGTGGTGCCCACTATCCATCCCAGAGCCTTAACGAAAAGAAATGAGGTTAAGAAACTAAGACAAAGCAAAAAGTTCACTGGGAGCCCTACAAGGGATGGGGCTGGGGGGGTCAAATCAGATAACTCAAATGTACAGTCAAGTCTCTTCTTACTGGCAATCCTAAATTAGTCCAGGAGACACGAGAGCTTCTCCCCAGAAGCCTCACCTGATGTAACACTGAAGCTCAACGTCTCTAATATGCACCTGAATACGAGCACGAAGAGAACAACTGCTCACACAAGCAGTCTGAGGCAGCTCCCCTGCGCCCAGCCGTTCTGAACCGGCCAGATAACCTTCTGGACGTCTAAGAGGACAAGAGCAAGGCGTTCAAGTCCATGGTGCTTCCCGTAAGAAACCACAGTGCATAGGGGCTGGCCCCAAGGAGGAATGACAGGGTGGGTGGGGGCAGAGCAACAACTTCTCGCTCATCTGCAAGACAACAGCGCCTTGGGAGCACAGCTTCACTTCCGCACAAGTTCCTAAGGTAATGGGAAGTTTTCTGCAACCCTTCACAGCTCTTGCTCAGCCCACCGCGGCCACTCAGGCACTGAGGAAGTGGCCCGTCCTCCGGCCAGAGGCCCGAAAGGGCAGGAAATGGGAGCAGAGGCCATCTGTGGGGAAAAGGGAAGGACCGGCGAAACGCGAGGGGCCGGGCCGCCGCCCCCCGAGCCTCGGGCCGGGCTGGGACACCCAGGGGCTGTTTCCGGGGGACCCTCCGGAGACGTGCGGGGCCGGGCGTCGCCCTCCCTCCGGCTTCGGGACGGGACGCGCGGCCAAGCCCGGTGCCGGGAGCC